CTGTCTCGTCAGCAAGCGGTTAGGGTTAGCCACTAACTGAAGATAACACACTAGTCATAAGGTTGCTGAAAACCCTTCGACAGCTCACGGCTGGCTTCGACCTTCTTGGAGCTTATCAGGTAGGAGCAGTCCTCAAGCTTCCCTCGGTAACTGTTTTTATACGCACAACTCAGGATTAAACTGATTTACTCAACCTGTTTCGGTATCTGCAGTAATTTTCAAATGCGTCTACGGACTAATCGTACACAACCTTTCCACCTGCCTCCACTTAGATTCCACCTGCACAGCTACATGCATATGTTGGTACACAAATCGGTGAACACACTGTGTCAACACAGGTACGGACTGCGCCGCGCCCAAACACCTAGTTGAGCTGTATCCTGGCTACCGAAACACTCCTAACAGGGAGGGGTTTCAGATGAAACCACGAGTCCACACTCAGTCAAACGCCCTGAGGAAAGCAGAACAAGATCCTTTTTATTATTCAAACTGAGCAACCCTTTTCCACACTGTTGAACACCAGCTCGTCAGAAATGGAACGTGATCAACTAATGAGGTCCACTGACAGAAACTAAACCCCCGGTAAAGAATTGACTAGCTACTTCCGTTCGAAATTTGCATGAAGTCGGGGCGGAACACAAGTATAATGGCTGAAATAAGATTGAATAGTGAGATAAACAGCTAGACCTGGTTAGTGAATTAGTCAGCGGGGAAACATGGATGACTAGCCGCAAGTGGAACCCTAATGGATGCTGTGACGTGGTCTGGAGGGCTATTGAGCGACTGAGCCGATCGATACGTGTTACACGACCAAGGTAAACTCAGCATTGATACAAATCGTTTTTGACAGCACAGTACGGGGTCACGCAAATAAATTGCGGCCGCTTGGGGTGTATTTAAACAAGCAGTTCGATCGGTACTCGCAGTCTATTGGCTACTCGGTAGATGACGTGAAACGACTTGCTCGGATTGTTCACGTGACCGGTCTTAATTAGGTCTGACGCAATTGAGCTTTGGGTTGGTTCTAGGAGAAGAGATGCTCATGCCAACTCATTCGCCATTCACGATGCGTCGCTAACCCAATGAGCGCACCCTTGTCTTTATGGATAACCAGAACTTTGTCACCAAAATCGTGACCTCGGATGGGTAACTACGGGGGGGGGGGCGGCTGTTCATTCCTTAAAGTTGTTATATCTTAACAAATAATCTCTCTGACGAGCCCACGATACACACAAATGCGTTACTCACATGTGCTTTGCAAGCTGCCTCATCGGATTTCAGGGATTGCACTGTTGGTGCTAAAAGAAAGACAGATGAAAAACAAGAGTAGCTGTTTGGATCGATATTGACGGCAATCCGTATGATTATATCACGAGAAGATTCAATAGCATCACCATCGACAGTATGACATCGTGTTCAACACCGATGCTTCACTGCCGTAAAACCATGATTTATTCGAAAGCCTTATTGTAAAGAAAAGAGTAAAGGTAGATGGGGAAGGGACTCAATGCTAGTTTACTACAACAAACAATCTCTCTGACGAGCCCACGATACACATAAACGCGTTACTCACATGTGCTTTGCAAGCTGCCTCATCGGATTTCAGGGATTGCACTGTTGGTGCTAAAAGAAAGACAGATGAAAAACAAGAGTAGCTGTTTGGATCGATATTGACGGCAATCCGTATGATTATATCACGAGAAGATTCAATAGCATCACCATCGACAGTATGACATCGTGTTCAACACCGATGCTTCACTGCCGTAAAACCATGATTTATTCGAAAGCCTTATTGTAAAGAAAAGAGTAAAGGTAGATGGGGAAGGGACTCAATGCTAGTTTACTACAATCCTTCTGAGGTGCCTACAACTCCTGACATTCACTCAGGCAGTCTGGATAGAAACGGGAAACAATAAAGTCATTGACATCGATCAGTTGCCATATCTTGTAGTGCCTCCAACCAGGCGCAATGGGGATCACGCGGTCCCTTTCCTGAGAGGCGAGTCGCACCGACGGCAGTCAGACCTTTCGTAATCCATCTCTTAGGAAGTTAAATAGAACGTTCTAGGCCGGCAGATTGGTCAAATACTCTCAAACACCAACTCAAAAACGACGGAAGAGTTTCAATTCTACTACTGTCAGTGACTAGGCATTCTTTGAAACGTCGTAGTCGGCTGTCTACTCGACCATGTGTTAATTCCACGAATCTGTTCTTAGACCCCAAAGACACCTACACAATGATTCGGCAGCAATAAATGTTGATACCTTCTCGTTTAACAAGGCATCGGCTGCAAGTGGTATCAGTGACTAGGAAGGTTTTTGAATGGTAGCGGACGAGAAGACAGGTTGCAAACTGGTTCGCTCACGACAAAAAACAGCTTGTCCGAACAAGGAACGCCCATTGGAGTCCCTGCACGGAAAAACTGCTGGATATCTCACAAGGTATGCAATACCACTCCCTGCTTGTGCCATTATGTGAACGCCGTTCAATAGAACTCGCGTCCTTCCTGACCGAGGAAAGAAAACTACTGCTAAAAAGCAGTTGGCATCCAGAAAACCAATCACATCGAGGGGAGGCAAAGCACAACGCAAAACAAATAACAAACAGACCAATGAACGAGTGAGAAAGCAGTCTCTTCATTAGCCAACCGCTTCGACAGACAACAGGAATTCTTCGAAAGCTATATGCAGGCAGGTAGCTAAGGAGTGAGTGCCCACCAAATCTCACGCTGATGGGGTCTCGTCGTTTCGTGACGAACTGGTTACAAGTCGATTGGTGAACAGATCCACCTGATCAACAACCGATAATGTGGTAGCCAGCCTCTTCACCCCTACGCAAAAGATAGCAAAAGTAGAGTGAAATAACTTGGGTGGAGAGCATGCTTTCAGCACGTTTTCGCCAGCTGATTAGACCGCAGAGCTAGACAAGGAATGTAGTCCCACCAGCACTGGAATGAGGAATTATCGTGAACGTGACTGGCGAATGGAAGTTTCGGAGGACAACATTCGATTATTTACATCGGCCCTATGAGCGTTTTCTAACTGGATGCTTTTGAAACGAAACTGACGCGTCCTTCTTCTGAGAGTGGCAGTCAGAGAAGTTGAACAAACCATGACTCGTGGATGTTGAATGCATACAGTGGAACTACCAAACTGGATGTATCTACGTGCCGCTCATTTTCACACACTCAAGAATGTAGAAACAGGCTTTGCCGTGTTGCCTCGGAACTAGAATTAGGTCCAGGCAAACCAAGGTAGGAACTTACTTCGTGGAAGTAGTAGTTTCGGTTTGTAACAGGACGACTTGTTGGTGTTGGTTTCCTCGGACTGGCGTCTGGCAATTGTGGGCGCACTATGTGGAGAAAACACACATCATAGTCAATATAATGGTTAGGGTTGTGTCATGTCGTGCGCGAAAAGCTAAGAAGCACTGTATAAGTGCTGGATACTATTCATACCCCCCAACAATGAGCGCACTGAAGGTTAGCGAGACCGATTACCCAGAACTATATTAGCTCAATATCCGTGACTCGACCGGTTTGCCGGTTTCCAGGATGATTACTTCTCAGGGAGAAGTTTCTGGGTCATTCATGGTGTTCTACTTATGAGTAAACCAATTTTTCACGGTTGCAATGACCCGGAGGACTATGCGACAAATGTGGTCTGCCGACTTATAAGTGGTCAGATTGGACAACCAACGCGAAAGGTAGTGAACATAACCAATAGAAAATCTTTGAATAACACAAGACGCTGTGTTGTTATTGAATTTTCAAACTGCCTGACAATTCACACCCCAAAGCTACCGGAGTCCATTAAAGGCCAGTTCTCGTAATGCCGCGATCTCCCCAAATTGACTATTGTGTATATGCATTCCTTCTTTTCAAAATACCATGTGTCCGCTTCACAATAGATTTCTATCTTCAAACTGAGGTCACTTCAAATTGGGGGCAGCCGCCTTTCTTGGGGGAATTACTCAACATTGGAACATCATAAAGAGACCGAAAACACCAAAGACTATGCAATGGCTTCTAGAACCTCCAGGAAAACTATCGCATGCGAGGCTGCAAGCCCAAAGTAAACAATTTTGTCAAATCAACTCACCTTCCACCGGGAGCTAATGTTGACGTGAGTGACGCATAGCTGTGAGAAAATAAAAGCAATATTCTCAAGGGTCATATCGGCAATCAAAGTGAATAGTTATCAGACGCACAAATATGGGAGTACAGTGCAATGAGACATGTCACAGGCTATTCTGTGTGTGGCTCTTCGCTACATTACTGCTCTAAATAGTATGCCTTCTTTGTACAACCCTCACAGTCGTTCAGTCGCCCCACTAACCCGTGCATATTCCTCAAAAAACCCAAATAAATGAGCGAAATACACTCATTTGCAAACTAATTTGGTTTTGCGAGAGACTCACCTGAAGCCCAACTGAATCTCTCGTTTATGATGTTTCCCGATAAATGTTTCCAAATAAATGTCTCGTTCCCTGCCGTTGAAAAGAAGAAACGCTGTTTCTTCTCATTTTTCCCAGGGGTGCGTGAATTTGGAATTTTCTCTCAACTCGTCATAATCTACAGGTTTCCAAGCTTATTGGCTGTTTTTTCCGTGTGTTGAGCTCCTTTTTCAGGATACACGCTGTTTCCTGGTCTTATCAAAATCGATGCGAATCACTAGTACAAAGTTTCCGAATATGGGCTTCCTTTTCACTATAAACAATATTTTTTGCAATAAAGTGTGGACAACAAGTCGATTCCTTTTTCCCAAAGATTCCTTTTATCTCTGGTGAAATAGGGATGAATGATTGACTGACTGATTGATTGATTGACCGATGAAGAACAAACAGCAGGTTGATCGCGGACATTTGTGACTTGACCTTAGTTGCTCTGATTCACAGCAAGTGATCCGTTAGGCAAACAAAAATCACATAGGTGTGTGGTAAAACTCACCTGGTTACCTTCGTTTGACTTGGAGAACACACCCTCATTTATGATAGAGTTAGCATAGAAGCGCCAAAATGGCTGAAATGGAGAAAAGCGCGGAGTTGAAATGGGCCACTTGTAGATGTTGAGTTACATTTAGTTGCCACAAGCCAGTAGAATACATCGTTGTCCCAAGAGTCTGCAACCCATCTGAGGTGCTAAAGGCAAGTCCGCTCCAAAAGTGCACTTCTGACGCCGTTCAGGGACGTGCTTGTCCGAAGCATTCTTTAGATTAGTAATCTTATGAAGGAAGACCTTGCAGAGTAAGATGGAGGGAAACTAGCAAGCTATGAGACTCAGGCGCGTTCTTTGACTCGTTTAACTGGTTCTTTTTCTGGAGCGATGAGAGAAAACCGCTAGACTATGACTGTCTCTACGGAAAGAACTTCTTCTTGGGAGGTTTTTCCCCAAGCAGTAATGCCGCGGTGCAGATTAGGGTGCAATTTCCGCAGCCGCTCAACACAAGTCGGATTGTGCCAGTTACACTGTTTGAGCTATAGAATGATCAGAAATCTGTACGGTTCTCGCTGGCCATGCCTTTTGTCCATCAGCCATGATCTTGCTAGTCAGGCGATAACGAGATAAAAGCTGCGTTTCTTACCAATGCCAGATAATTATTGAGATCAGGCGGAACACAGATAAATCCCCTCTCTTTCTATGGCAAATCCCAAGTTTCTGTGGCTTCCATCCAGAAATCCAGATATCCGTATTGGTCGGCTAGTGGGCATCCACGTTCTAAGATCGTTCCGTCTGATGCTTGGCCCGTATTAGTGGAAAGGAATTCACGCATTGAACCGTGGATGACAGATAACGCATTCGCAAATTATCTGGCAAAGTAATCTCTCCCCAATAGTGACTCCCTGAAGGTGAAACCAGATATACCAGTGGATTAGTCTGTAAACATTGGTGATCAAGCTGCCTGATGCTTCCGTATTTGTCCGCAAGATATGCCTGCGGTCCTGCTGTAATCTCCTGTGAGAGGGATCAGGGTTCTGTCATAAAACCACAGTCACAGATGTCATTGTTCTGCGGACAGTGCTGGCGAGTTTCGTAGTTGAGGCCCATTACAGCCAAAGTCAAACATTCAAATCGGACCGCGACATCCTGGTGTTGAATTAGGTTTGATACACAAGCATTGGTGGGTTTCACCGAAATGAGGAGCAGGCGTTGTGTAGCTCCAAAAAATGAATTTTTTCAAACTGATTTGTGGTGGGGTGGCGGGTATGTCACAGACGCGGAGAGAATCCGTCGGAGTGGAGTGAATCAACTCAGCACTTGAAGGGAGGTTGCCAAATGACGTTGAACTGGCGCCAGAAAATAATTCGTTGTTACGTAAGCTAAACCGATTCTCCGTCAGTGTAATTATCCTGGAGAGTAGTGTAGATTGCGCAGGTGTCATGACACACCTGAAAATCCTGTCAAACGTAGCCATTGTCATCGTCAGCTTCGACAACAAGTGGTCCAATGTTGAATACTGCCGTCAAAACTGTATTGAACAGAGTAGGCATCACCTGACACCCACACAGAAAAAAGATCCAAAACACTGGTTGACCTTGTGTCCTTCAGAGGAGCCTAACCTCTCTTTCTGACATGTCAGCACATTTGTGACGGATTAAGAATCACGGGAACATGCAAATTATTGAATAAAAGGATCGCAGTGTCGTGTGAGCCGGCTTTTAAACCAGTCTCTATCCGCAAACGTGTCCTCTAGCTTACCTGTGTGCTTGTGATGAACAGAGAACGCGCTTCAGCTTGTTGTTCACACGACAACAGACTTCTACCGAATCCGCCTAAGCTTTTGCTGAAAAAGATTATCGATTAGTAATCGATCGGTACACGTAGAAAAAAGTGTGTTGGCAGCATTTTCAAATAGTCTGTTAAAGTTCCACTCAAGTTTTTTGTACTCTTCGGTCATTTCCTCTTCATGGACGCCTTGTACTTTTTTACTTTTAAATTGCACGGGTTTTGCAAGAACAAGTTCGAAACCATCTAAACCAATTGTTTTAAAAAAAAAGTGGCGAATGGACGCAAAAAATTAGGCATGAGTCATCGTCAACCGAGTAACTCCTGATTCCCTGGCAAGCTTCAGAGCTAAACAGGTAAGGCTCTGAAAGGGCTGGTGATCCCGTCTTGAGTCAACTGACTGATCTCCAGCGTTGCTGACCGTAAGCCAGACAGGTGGATCTGTCAAGTGTGTCGGTAAGAGAGCAACTGAAAGGCAGAAACTCATCGAAAGGAGCCAAAGAGTGACAGCGACATATTGTACCTATTTCGCGACCAGCAAATAATGCATATCAGGGCCACGGAAGATCAAACACAGGGTAGATCACACACCTCAGCAGCAAATAGCCCGGTCCCAATATGCCAGCAAGTATCGCAACCCAAAATAAACACAGAGTACCATGAAACCTCAACTCCTTCAAAAGACTATTCGGAAAGCCCCTGAGTCTCAAGGCCACAAGAGGCTTGCTATAGATTGGACATTCAGATAGCCAATCCGGAATGCGCGAATGTTCAACCAATCACTCGACGCGGTCCGGGCAGCCCGGACTCATGGTCAAACATCTGCTTGTTCGTTGCAGTTTAGGATACGAGGTTACACTCGTTGAAAACACATTCACCTATGTTAGGCCCACAGCCCATTTAACTCTTTGGGCTTGTTTCGAGACGTCAGCGGACCGTGTTAGAATTGCACTGTCTGTCGTCCATCGGCGGTTGCTGTTGACTTGACAGCGTTCCAACTATCCACAAGTCGAACGTCGTTCCGCCTAGGTGACTTCCACTGGCTGAAAAATCAACACACCACATTTATAATGGCACTCACATACGAACACCTTTCCTACCTCTCAGGAACGAGTGTGTGCTGAAGGAGTTTCCCTTTCTCAGCCTACCGCTGACCACATCCCCGGCAGTCCCTGCAGCCAAACGACAAAAATGGAGATGTTCAGATGTTCCAAATTAGAATGAAGGTTCTTCATGATGGTCGACGGCAGATGTCAGGAAAACACAAGAAGACTCACTTTTGTCGCAGCGTCGGCCGACCGAGGAAATTACATTTGACGGTCCATATGAATATTTGCGCAAGATTCAAGCAGAGGATCGAGGAGGCAACGGGCTTCATACTGGAACCGAGCACGTTTTGCAACTGACGGTCGTGAGATTATCCATATGTGAACTGCCCACAAGTATGCAAGCTTTCTTGCACGGTTATCGTGCTCGGCCCGTCTTCACAAATGCCGCGTCGCGTTTCCATCCGCCGACTGAGTTACTCTTCGGATGAAGTATGCATTCGACTGGGCTTTCACCATACTTATTTCTCTTCATAACTGGTATAGATATTCCTGAATCGATTTTCTGTCACGTGTCAACCAATACAACGTGACTTTGGGGAATCCACTGAGACGCATCTTTTCCGCCCTCCGAGGGACCAAACTACTTCGCAGTTAGCGAATATACACTCATTTGCAAACTCATTTGGTTTTCCGAGAGGCTCACCTGAAATCCAGCTGAATCTCTCGTTTGTGATGTTTCCAGGCAAATGAATGTGCTGCACCAGGCCGCCTCATATTTCAGTCGCTACGATATTCGAGATATCACGATACATGTATACTTTGTAATGTACTACTCATAAGGTTGCTGAAAATCCATCGACAGCCCACGACCGGTTTCGCTCTTCTTGGGGCTCATCAGGTAGGTGCAGTCCCCGGGTTTCCGTCAACCTTATGTTCTACTTGAAACCAAATTGCACGAAATTAGCGATGTTGCGTTGCTGTTTTTGGATGGCCTCAGCGGATTCGCAAAGGGGTAAGTAGAAAGCGGGTGTTTGATCGTTTTTTAATCAGCACCATCAATTACGGTGGCGAAGTAATGTGATAAGCATGTCTGAACACCGTCCATTGAAACCAGTGTGCCAACTTCAGAATGGCAGGAACCACGAGTTTGATAACATATGAGTTGGCAGAAGGGCGTGTGTTTGGGCGTTGTCGGTACAGTACACCTTCCACCACCCGTGACCCGTCCTGTTTTTGGCTGAAGACATTGCAAGAAATGGCAGCTGATCGCAGTCAGTGGCGTTACGGTGGTCAGTTTCTTCCCAGATTGTCTGACTGAGCGCTTGCACCTCAGAATGCTTGATACAGATCAGTAAGGGGTCCCCTCCACCACCCAATCTTTTTACTCTATGACTTCAAATATAGATAGATGAGCCTTATGGTTGTACGGCAGTGAAACACTAGTGTCAACACTGATGCTACTGTCTCTGATAAATCCTATCATGAAGAGGAGTTCTGAGCGAAGTCATCGTAGAAGAATACTAGCGACAAAACATGGGTTTTGAATGGACTTTTATGCAACTTCTGTTGAATCTAAACTCTTCATAATTTCACTAGGAATTTCATCCCGCAAATACAGTCTATTTTGAAGTTCCAAAGGGCACTCTATGGTTGCGGTCCCATGACTGTTGAAAACCACATCAGTAGTGCATAACTCACGTATCTCTAGGTGGATTCGAACCCGCAACCTAACCCGGGCTATCGGTCATAGGTGAGGTCGTTCAACCTCGGATGGCTGACAACTGTGTGATTAAATCGTATCCAAACAAGACAGCGCCGTTTATCTTTCAGTCACACGAATCTCAAAACTTGGCACAGCCCCAACGTCTGCCTGTGTCGTATTGGTGTAAGGCTTGACCTTGGAAAGGTCACTCGCCATATCAGGCGCTACAAACACTCAAGTCACGTAACAACTCCTGTCCCACTTGCTGCAACCTTAGCTGACAACATGTGCGCTACAGTTTCCCATCCATTTTTGTTCATGAGGCTACAATCTGCGTCACACGCCAGGCTTACTAACTTCAGCACATCAGTCGAGTTGTATTCCTGTTCGTGCAAGTATCGAACACGAATGGACGTCCCTCTCTTCACATTGCACACAACCTAATAGGCGTGCAACTCGGCCCAAAATGATTCGCGCGCACAGGACAGGAAGTCAGCTGAGGTCCACAAGTCTCCACGGCCAACTACGGAACACGTGTAGCAGCTATACCGCAAAGAAGATAAGTTTGGCGTCCGGAACTCCACTCTGGAACTCTGAACAGTTGTCCTCAAATGACAAGTCACTTTTTGGCTTATTCCACTTTTCGCAGTGTATCTATTTTTATCAAGTGCACCTAACTTTTTCAATCATTCTGGTAAAACAGACATTTGTCAGTGCTTGTCACCTGATAGTCAACTTCATTACGTTACAACCAGATCACTACTAACCTCTGCTGGTTGACGGTCTGACTATAGGAATAACTGGTGTCGGGTGGCGTCAAAGAATTCGTAACTGGTTGACTGGAAAATGAAGTTGGGTCCGTTCTAGACGCGTTTAGAAATATGTGAATATGAGAAACGCACTACTTACATGAACTGGTGAGGCATTTCTAGTTGCGAGGACACGCTAAGCTAAACTAACTGATGTCACAATTGAACGCAACCTCAAAATCCAGGAACCCCAAGATCGTGGATCGTCTGTACATGCGGCACCGGTTTGACCCCAGGCGGAATGCGGAGAAGTGATCGGTGAGGCCGATCAAAGTCCTGTTTTCGATTACAGATTAAGCCGATGAAGAGCTAGTGACATTAAAAGCCTTGTTTCGTCAAGAGTCAAATAGACCGCAATATGGTTACCTTAGTTGCTCTGAGTACCTTATAGTTCCCTGCGATGATCTCGCTTTCCTAGGATAAGCGTACCTAGATACGATAGCCACTGACCGAGGAATTCGGTCCTGTTATTGGACGAGAAGGTGATGTCCCGAATTTCTGTTTGATCTTGAGCAGGGAGATGTACTAATTTACCAGTAGAATTGAAGGAAGCGCAATGTGCACAGTTCAAGTTTCTGTCACAGACCGATAGTGGATGGTTAAATGAACCGTTACGCGAAACATTCAGCCTAACGACCAAGACGGTCTCTTTTATACTGGAGTTCAAGGAGGCCTCGTTGAAATAAGGTCACTGCGCACGAGTCAACTTGAAAACAACCTTGGAACGTTTCTTGCTTTTTTCAGGCACTTTTTCGAACATTCCAGCAGCAAGTACGCTCAATATCGTCTACGGTATGATTGTGTATCGAATCACACTCTGATCGTGACCGGATGGAATCGATTTTCGGGCTTCCTGCAAAGCCACAACCTTTACCCTTGCCCCAGTGCCTGGAAGAGACTTCGCTCACGATGTTTCATGCTTACAAAGGTTAGTAACTGAAAGCTGATCACCATTCAGGCACTGGGATAGGTGGTTCTAATACACTTGTTTGATATTAGGGTCCAAATGCCAACCGTAGTGTGCTCCTCAGGAGAAAGCCTAAAATCAAAAAGAAAATCGGCAGCAGATGAGTACAAAACAAAATTCATACAGATATTCAAAAAAAACCCACAGGCAAAGGCCGCACCATCATTAACCGATGGTCGGTCCATGGTTAGTTCGTTCATAGGAACAATGTGCTCGGACGGCTTCCGATATCCCGGAAGCTGGCACTATAAAAAAAAAGTAGTTCTTGGATGAAGCTGTTGTGAAAAAGCATCTGGAATTTTATAAAAAATACCTTTGACAAAACCACGGGGTCGAATTCTGTCAAAACATCGGATGAGAAACAATAAGGCATCGAGAGAACTCTTTTACTTGNTGAGACTCTTCAAGGACATTGCCAAACGAAGCGCAAAGGGGGCATTGGAACGGGCATCTTGTGAAACAAAGCTACTTCCGGATACTGTTGAATGTCATACCGCCCCTAAATCACCAGGACTTTGCAGTCACAGGCAGGAAGAGAGCAATGGGACAGTCAGTCTAAATATGGACCATTGGGCTCGAGACAACTCAGTAGATAAGGCGTAAATCTACTCACCGGAAGGTTCATGGTTCAAACCGAACCTCGACATGATCACTGCCCCAGTCTAGGCTTGGGTAACTTAGCAGTATCCCAGCCGTCGTGCTTTCTTCAGGTGGCATGGCAGCCTGTGTTTCTTATCATGGATCCCTTTAGACAAAATGCGTCAACGCAGAGGGCCTCCATCGTGCAAGCAAGAAAGAGGTTTTTCTCAGCTTATTTCGAAGCACGAGTGACGCACAGGCAGCCTATTTTGTGGGGTTCTGGAAGCCATCACCTGATTTGTAGGTGTCTAAAGCTATTGCCCTCGGTACCGAACGCACCCGACGAAGACTCCTCTTCAAAGATAACGAGATTTTCACACCCCTAATGAACCGAACGAGACCGGGCCGAAAAACACCTTTTCAACAGACGTTGAGCTGCCAAATGGCAACTCTCATCAATCTAATATCTGAAATTGTTCACTCCGACACGTAGGTTTGCAGGTGGGCAAGTTTGTGACGATAAAGATGGACTACCAAGTGAACACGGATCATGACTGGAACCAGCTCACTTTGTTTCAAGGCCGATGTTTCTTGGTCAGCCGTTGAACGGAGAGAGATGAAGACAACTTTCACCTGCGTCTATGTTTATGGACAAGATCTGAGATGCGTTTCTGCAACCTGATCTTTGTGAGTTCTGCTCACTATTCTACACGATCCAATGTCCCCCCAGCTTCTGAAGGCCATTCACAACATGATAAAGCCAGCTCATGAGCAATCATTCCTTCAGGAGCGGAATATCGCTACATGTACAATGCGGATAGAACCAAATCAGTTTTTTTGAACAGTGCTCAACACAAGTCTCATGTCAAGGGGGAAGTTCACCAAAGAGAGCCACCAGGAGATTGCCAGTTTTCGGAGGAATATGGTCACATGATAGAGACTTTTGAATGTAATGTAGCGGGATTATCAACCCATTTGCTCGATCATTTGAAAGACTGAAGAATTCATTGCATTTGATATTGTCTGGAGAAGCCTTAAATGAAATAAACTGAGTGCTTCTGGAGGTTGGGGACTATGCAAAAAAGCCTGAAGAACACCTCAGAACAGAGGCGTTAAGTCCTCCCGATAAGTACCACTTATCCCCGACTTTACTGTATTTCGGGATCAAGTTGAACTTTTACATACCGGGTCGGTTAAGGCAGTTAGCCGCGCTACGTTTTGCACTGCATTGCTTCGATTTCCATCTACTAATCCTAGGACCTCGTAAGTAGCAAGCTGACGATCGATCTTAGTTTAGCGGAATGATTGTTGCATTGGGATTTTTTGTGGGGTAGTCGACTTTCTAAACTTTCTCATATCTTTCTAGTTGGCCTTGATCGAGTTTTATTAGCATGACTTGACCATCAGGACTCAAAGGTGGTCTGTGAAATCATCAAATTGATTAGACCATTATAATGATGCTTCGATTTTAAATTTAGGTAATCTTGAAGCAGTCTCACAGCTTGATCGGTTATAAAAGCTCGAAAACTGGAAACATCACAAACGAGAGATTCAGCTGGGTTCCAGGTTAGTCTCTCGCAAAACCAAATTAGTTTGCAGATGAGTGTATATTCGCTAATTTCGTGAAATTTGGTTTCAAGTAGAATATAAGGTTGACGGAAACTCGGGGACTGCACCTACCTGATGAGCCCCAAGAAGGGCGAAACCGGTCGTGGGCTGTCGACGAATTTTCAGCGACCTTATGAGTAGTATATTACAAAGATATAAATGTACCGCGATACCTCGAATATCGTGGCGACTGAAACATTAGGCGGCCTGGTGCAGCACATTCATTTGCCTGGAAACATCACAAACGAGAGATTCAGCTGGATTTCAGGTGAGCCTCTCGGAAAACCAAATGAGTTTGCAAATGAGTGTACTTCGCTAAGGTCGACAACTCCTTTTGATGGGAAGAAATTGGGATTAATTGGTCACACTGAATCACTGTCTTCTCTATAAACCGTGACTTGCATTTTCAATGAGAGATTACGTTGACGGTTCTACGAACCTGTTCGGTAAATTCTCAGTTCATGGAGGTAAACCGGCTTCCAAAAAGCGGTTGGATGAGA